AGAACCAGTTCTTAAGAAGCAAGATTAAGACTTCTGTGAAAACTGCTCACAGGAAAATACAAGACATGTCACTAAATTCTTTCTGCTTTTTACAGCTAACAATCATCATATTGAGTCAAGGTGCCCTCTTTATGTTACAATGAAGGGGAACAAATCATTCTGTAACAGAATGGAGTTATTTGAAAATAGGGCTACACAATTCAGCTATTTTTTGGCAGATGTTCTTGAAATATATGCTTCTATTTTGAACTAGAGAAACCACAGACACTACTGCCTGTCCTTGATTTTTTTGTTTTTAATTATTATTTTACAGTGGTTAAAAGAAAAAAAGCCAGAAAGGAGTTATATGCCCCATGGAGTCTAGAGGGTCTGCTGTTTACTTACAGAAAACTGAAGCAGTTACATGCCACTAGCAATATGGTAGAATATCACTGCCATAATAAAGCGCTTTGCATTATGCTCTCATAAATACCTTGGAGTAGCAGATAAACCACACCATTAAAATTACATTGCCTTCTCGGTCACAAAATTCTGTGCACAACATCCCAAAATAGCGGCCTCTAGTTTAAAAAAGATTTTTTCAGAGTGTAACAGTATCAAAATGTAAAACTTCCTAAGGGTAAACTTCTGAATACTCAACAGCATCCGTTCCCATTAGTATTGTTCAGCAGATGTCTACAGACAAACAACAAAACAGGAAGAAGTTATCAGCATGACACGTAATGATTGTTGCACACTAGCAGCATAACCATTATCAAAGTTTTGGCTGGTGTGGAGCCCAGGGAGAGCCTTTGGGGAGAAAGAGAGGAAAGGTGGTTCTGCTGCCAATTCCTGGAATGGGTCTTTGAATAAGATACTGAACATGTAAACAAAATGGGGAGTGGGGAGGAAGAGGAAGAAAAACTGACTAAATTTGATCATTATTACTGAGATAGTAATAATGGTTACATCTAAACTTATGAAGACAGGGAGCAAAACAGAAATGAACTTACTATCAAAAAAATACATTCAACATAAAAATGGGCTTAAATCATGTCTTACTGCTCTTGTCACAGATAATATATTTACATTAAATCTTCTTTTTTAGGTTTGAAAAATTAAGCCCAGCAATTAAAGCTAGGGTTGTGAGTATGTTCTAAATATTTGTACACTTTAGGTAGATATGCTAAGGATATAAAGGATCGATCAGAGTTTCTACAGTCTGGCCAGTTTGCATGTAGCAAATACAAATTTGAAAACTTTTTAAGGATTTACATGCTCTATTTTAGGGTTACATAAATTATTGATCTTGATTTAGAATTGTGCTAAAATAGATTTCACTCCAAGAAAAACTGTGTGTCATAAATATGATTAACTGAGGTAAAAGTCTACAAAACCTAAAAATGTACAGTTTTTATATAGACCTTCAAATTGCAGACACAATTGTAGCTTTCTTGGTAGTTATTTTCACAAATGTGCTTATGTTGCCTAGTTAGTACCTGCATTTCTCTTCAGTATCTATGTGGGAATTACACTTCATTAGAGCAAATACATACGTTCTAGACAGCACATTTTGGGACAATTAGTGTACTACTCGCACAACTAATTAAATTCAGCTTTTTGTGTTCTTTTTGTATTTGTGTTTATTGTGTTCTTATATTACCTAAACTAATTATGATCACACAGAAGGTACTGAAAGCACAATATCACCGTGTGTGTATCTAGCACACTATAATCAGAGAACCATAGAATGGTTTAGGACGGAAAGGACCTTAAAGATCATCTAGTTCCAACCCCGCTGCCATGGGTAGGGACACCTCCTGCTAGACCAGGTTGCTCAAAGACCCATCCATCTGGGCCTTCGACAGATCCCTAGGGGGGGGACCATGGGGCATCAACAGGTTCCCTAGGCAACCTGTCCCAGTACCTCACCCACTCAGAGTGAAAAATTTCTTCCTGATGTCTAACCTAAATCTACCCTCTTCCAGTTTGAATCCATTACCTCTTGTCCTATCACTATATGCCCTTGGTAAAAAGCTCCTCTCCAGCTTTCTTGTAGGCCCTCTTCAGATACTGGAAAGCTGCTATAAGGTCTCCCCGGAGCCTTCACATCTCCAGGCTGAACAACCCCAAGTCTCTCTGCCTGTCTTCATAGGAGCTCCAGCCCTCTGATATCTTCATGGCCCTCCTCTGGACCCACTCCAACAGGTCCACGTCCTTCTTGTGCTGAGGACTCCAAAGCTGGACACAATACTCCAGGTAGGGTCTCACCAGAGCCGAGGAGAAGGGCAGAATCACCTCCCTTGTTCTGCTCACAACACTTTTGATGCAGCTCAGGATATGGTTGGTTTTCTGGGCTGCGAGTGCACGTTGCTGGCTCATGCTGAGCTTCTCATCAACCAGCACCCCCAAGCCCCTCTCCTCAGGGCTGCTCTCAATCCATTCTCTGCCCAGCCTGTATTTGTGCTTGGGATTGCCATGACCCAGGTGCAGGACCTTGCAGTTGATCTTGTTGAACTTCATGAGGTTGGCATGGGCCCACCTCTCCAGCCTGTCCAAGTCCCTCTGGATGGCATCCCTTCCCTCCAGCGTGTCGACCACACCACACAGCTTGGTGTCATGGGCAAACTTGCTGAGGGTGCAGTCAATTCCACTATCCATGTCACTGACAAAGATGTTGAACACCACCGGCCCCAGTACTGACCCCCGAGGAATACCACTCATAACTGGTTTCCACTTGGACATCAAGCCATTGACTGCAACTCTTTGAGTGCAACCGTCCAGCCAGTTCCTTCTGCACCGAGTTGACCATCTGTCAAATCCATGTCTTTCCAATTTAGAGACCAGGACGTCATGCAGGACAGTGTCAAATCCTTTGCACAGGTCCGGGTAGATGATGTCTATTGCTCTCGCCTTATCCACTACCACTGTAACCCCATCTCAGAAGGCCACTGAATTTGTCAGGCATGACTTACCCTTGGCAAAGCCACGTCACCGACCACCTCCTTATTTTCAACGTGCCTTAGCAGAGTTTCCAGGAGGATAATTGCCATATACAAAATGAAAGGTTATAGCTTAAAAGGGTAGGAATATATTCTGTATGTTTTTTTCATTTACCATTTGGCTGATAATCTTACAGTCTGGTCTTATGATATTCATAAATATTTTAAGTAAACATGCTACAAATGAGATAAAAATTGGGGTAGTTGGTAGCATCTAATTTTTAAACTTGAAACAGAAGTCTGGGTTTCTGTCTGGCCCTAATATTAAGAGTTCAGAAGGAATAAAGAGACATTTACTGATTTGTCGTGGTTTGGCCTCAGCCAGCAACAAAGAACCATGCAGCCGCTCGCTCCACTCCCACAGCCGTGGGGAAAAAAAAAAAAATCGACAGGGCAAAACTCATGGGTTAAAATAGTGCAATTTAACAGAACAGCAAAAGGGAAGATGAAAACAAAACAGTAACACCGATAAAGGGATATGAAGATGCGATTACAATACAGCCGCGCAGCGCACCAACCAGACGCGCACCAACCAGACGCGCACCCCACCCCCGAGTGGCGACTGCTCTCCTTGCCTGGCTAGCGCCTCTTATAGACCGGGCATGGGTCACGTGGGATGGAATACCTGCCCCCTGCCGGCTCCTGGGGGAAATTAACCCCATCCCTGCCGGAACCAGGACATGATTGATAGTACCTCTCAGTTTTCATAGGTGTTAAGATTTCTGTTTTGTCATCACTGTTAGAATTTCATTATGTCCTCTAGGACTGATTTTTTTTTTTTTTTAAACTGTAACAGGATTCACCACTATAATTATGGAGTTAACAGTTATGGTCACAGCTTTGGACTTAAGCTACCTGCTTTGTTTTCCAGTAATAGCAGGGATTCAGTGTTTCTGTTCAGAGCATCTTCTCCAAAATCACAAAAAAAAAAATAAAAAATCCATTGCTATAATGGAAGTCACTTTCTGAGAATTTATAAATAGATATCTTCTGTTAATATATGAATTTAAATGAAGATAAACACATTTTACAGCAAACTGTTCATCAGCTACCACATACTTAATTTGTCTTGTATAATATTTGTACAGGACACTCATTAAACTTTCTATGTGATTAAAACTCATGGACTTTTTTTTTAATAAACTACATTTGATTTTTAAAGGCATCTTTTCTTGCCATTAGTCATTCTATTTCCTCTCCATTAGATCCTAATGTTCTACTAGAGAAAATAACAGTCAGCTCAGGTCTTTTTCAAAATGACTGATGAGTCCTATTTATGTGAATAGAACAGAGGCACTTTGTTCTTATCAAAATGGCAACTACTTCTGTTGTGCTCTAGCTGGAGGAATCCTGTAGTATTTATAAAGTCTGGCCATGGCAGACATGCTGAAAGAAGACATGCTCACATGAGTTTCCCAATAAGCAACTATTTTATGAAACAGCGCTTGAAAGTAGATAAGCATTAAGTTATAGAAAATAATGACAGTTTTTCCAGGGTTAGGGTTTTTTTTCCCCACTATCTTATGTTATGAGGCCTAGTTATCAAATAAGACAGATAGCAAATACCACCATCATGACAAAACAACAAAACCACATATTTTAAATTCTTTAAATTCTACTCTACAAGTATAGACACAAATATATACTCATCATACTTACAAAAGTATAATAAAGAACAGAATTAATTTTGATTATATATTCTCCTTTATATTCTATTTTGTTTTCTTTAATGTTAACTCTGCATCTCCTGAGTTAACAGTGAGTGTGCTGAGGATATTTGCACATTCCTGCAGTGCTTTTTACCCATGTTAGCAGCATACATTCTCAACGTTGATTTGATTCCATTTTAATTGCAGAAATTATAAAACTCTTTATATGTACTTTAAAAAAAAATATATAAATCATTATGATACAAAACTATCAATTTCCCGTTTTAAAAGATGATTCCTGATTTGGTGATTCATAAAGTGAATAAGACAATTATTTTATACTCAGAGATACTGATATACTGACACATACCTTGACTTTTTCTAAGTGATCCTGCAGAGAGTCAATCAGCAGATCCCCCACTGGCTGCCAGGATCCCTTGAACACTTCAGCCTGGCGCAGTTTCAGGTCCAGTTCATCCACTGCGTCTTGAAGACCCTGCAGTCTTTCAAGAGCATCATCTATCTTCTTTTGCCAATCAGCAGACTGTAGATTCAGCTTATCCCACTCAGTTCTGACCTCATCTGCTTGCCTTTGGAGAAGTTTACTGACGTTTTGGGCCCTTTCCTCAGGTGACAGTTCTAAATGTGAAAGTCGAGAGGCTTTTTAGACATATTCTGTCTTAGAAGAAAAATAATTGCCATCTGGGTAAGTTCAAAGCTCAGCAAGAAACTATCCAGATTCAAAGACACCTGTGAAATTTATTTTATTAATGTATTATCATTTGAAAATCTCTTAACAAATTTAAATCTTGCCACCATACAGATCACCAAAGATGCAAAATATGCATTTAAGTACATAAAAGCATTTTTAAACATGCAAGTTGTAGCTAAATGTTTATCAACTGTGTCCTGATTCAGCAAAATAGTTCTGCACATACATAAATATTAATCATTCTGAATCTTTTGCTGCAATTGAGTGGAATTGGGAGCTTCTGTAGTACTGAGACTACAAGTTGAATTTAGGTTAAATTGCAGCTTTCAGACTTCAAATGGGCCTGTAGTTATAGATAGGTCCTGAAGGTTTAAAGCCAGTTTCAAAATCTGCGTATAAATATGCATGTCTATTTAGTGCCACAGTGTTCAGAAGGATGGCTAAGGGTTTCTTTCATCCCTATTTTTAGCTTAGTTTATGAATGCTGACATTCAGCATGGAGTGTAAAAGGGATGCTTTCACAGCGGCTGGCAGAATTTATTTAATCATCACTGATTTTCACTGATCTTTCCAGAAATATGTTATTACCCCGCTCTTTCTTCAATTACCTCTTGGTTCTGGGTAGAGCTTCTCCAGTCCCTCCACAGGCTGCTCTGCTAAGAAGATTCGCACAGTCTCTAGTGCACTCCTGACAACAGGTTCTTTTGTTTTCAGCTCCCTCTTGAAAGTCTGAGAGATGAAACAAAATTATTGTAAGTCGATATATAATGAAATAACGAGTGCTAGCCCTTGTTTTTGTCAATTCAAGAACAAAATTTTCAACAACAGCTTCCATGTGTGTATTACCAGTAGCTACAAAAAAATGTAGAAGAGATAATCAGCTTTTGCTTAACCTGAAATCACGCTGTACTCAAAGGAGCAAATGTACTTTCAGCATGCTGCAAAGTATCCAAGGTTGCTAATCAAATTTTCACTGTGAGAGGGATCTCTTTTGTTGATTAATGTCAGTGTCAACTCCAAAACCTCGCTACAAGGGACAAGTCTTCATCTGGCTCTATATTGGACCACACCAGCATAGCTAATTGTTCTTGAAAGCAAAATTTAACAGAATGTGAAGGAAAATCCAATATGTCTTACAGCTACCACTTTGCTACTGCTGCTGGCAACCGTTATATCAAAGGAAAAAAAAAAGGACCTATGTATATTGACATGTTAACCTGTAACAATTAGTAACAAAAAAATTTCGAATATATTAAATGGTAACTCTCTCATCTAGTAGTGGTGTAGATGCATGTCTTCCACAATTACATGAACTGAGATTTATGAAATGTAGAATCAAGGCCAAGGTGAAAATTCAGTAATATAATCTAGCATAGATGAAGGCATGCACGAGTGAAAATTGAAGGGCAGAAAGTAGTCCTTATGAAATAGTTAAGTCCTAGTTGCTTTAATCAGTATTTATTATCAATTTCCATAACTTTATGTCTAACAGTGTTCAGTGGTACAGTCGCTCCTTTTCAGATCAACTGTATTTCTCCCTTTCATCTCCTCCTTTTGTGTCATGCTTTTTGGCACCTGTCTCCTTTCTCCTCTTTTCTTCCTCTTTCCTATTTGCATTTTTCTTCCTCCAGCAACAGCTCCTTTTACTATGTCTTTTCTATTCCCTGCTTTTAAAATGACCATGAGTAAGATTCTCAAGGTTGGTATTTGAAGTTTTTGGTAGGCTACTGAAAGTATGCATATCTCAGGTATTTTGGTTTGGTTTTTTTGTTTGGGTGTTTTTGGTTTTGGGGGTTATTTTTGGTTAAGGAGAATTTAAAATTCCATTAATCTGAATCCAAATGTTCACCACACAAAAATGCAGATGAAACTTGGCCTGTGGGTTGCACGTTGTATTAGACCTTTTGCATGTTGCATTGAATTTACCTAAATGGTCCTTCCCACTGTTTTATTTCAACATTTTCCTCTCTATTTCTGAAATGATACTGAATGCATACTGTTTTCAAGTAGCATAGAGGTAAAATATGCAGATAATTATAGTGCAGTGTAACACAAAACACAATACTGCAAAACGAGAGCCACATGCCATGAGTGGAAAACAGATTTTACTACACAGATTAGAAAATTCTTTTTACAACACAGCCATTATATAAGCTTCTTACTTAATAAATTCACCAAATCAGTTAAATTAATTATTAAACAAAATTTGGTTTTCTATGCAAACTAAGAATTGTAAATTCAATATTAAAAAGTTCATTACACTTTGAATTATATTTGATATTAAAGGCTCTGTACAGGAAATACTTAACAGAACTAATGAGAATCACACCTGCAGTTTATAATTGAGCACTCACAGGTGAAAAATTAATACATTTCAGGAAAGTAAAATTAAGGCAATAACTACATTATTCTACCATAAACATTTAACCAAACTTCTTATTAAGTGGTCAAGAACTGACCATAAGGTTTGTAATGGTGAATCAGGAAAACCCTTTAGCGAAGTGTACTTTCTTGAAGGAAGCAACAAAGTAAAAAATGTTAATTTTGTGTCATGGACATCAATGGGATTGGGATCCTTTCGCAGAGTGTATGTGCTATCATAGGGGAATATATTTTTTGATTAATATCTGTGATAAATGCTTTAAACAATCATGTTGACCCTGAAGAAGGAACACTGATTTTCACAAGTAGAGTACTGTATATTAGCAAGTAAGCTACCATTGGACGTTGTTCTGCATAAAAACTTAGTGGGGTTACTCCGGGTATAACTCTTTAACTTAGACATTTTTGGGTTTCATACTTGATTCTTGCAAGAAGTGCAATGGAAAGAGGAAATACAATAAGCCCTTTTCATGCCTCCAAAAGAGGAAAATCTATTCCTTTAATTAGCCCTCATGCTCACCTCACATTACATCATTCTGTCCCACTAGACTTTTGCAGGTCTGCAGCTCAAGTAATCCAGCAGGTAGCATAACTTAAAATGTTCCCCCATGGACTATGTGCTTTGCTCTCATATGATAATGTTAAAAGTGACATCAACAGTCTTTGGGTTTAAATATTACAATCACGTAATAGCTTAAAGGTATAACATGCTTTATAAATGTCTCCGAAGACAAATTATTTCTCAGAAATGTATATGCCCCAACCCAATTGTTATTGTTTTCAGGAGGCACATGCACAAGGGCAGGAAGGAGTGACAGATATTCCAGAAGAATACAGAAGTACACCGACTTATAGGATTTTTAAAAGCCAGAAGTGCCTTTGAGCTATGTATCTGGGAAGGAGTGGTACTGCTGTATGGAGTGCTGCTGCTGTAGTCAGGTCAACTGTAGCTATGTACACGTACAAACAATAAGAAGGACACAAAATACCTTCTTTCAGCTTCTACTGCTCTTGCATAAAACTATACCAAGCAAATACACCTAGTGGCATTATATTTCCAAAAAAGGGTTAAAGCCACATTCCTCCAATATTTCTTGCACAACAGAACAAGGACAAAGTAATCAGATATGCATAATGCATCCCATAAAGTATGTGAACAGGAATCATTGTTATCTGTCTTCTCAAAACAATAGAGAAATGCTAATGGGAACTTTCTGACTTCGTATATTTCATATTAAGTCACAAACTGCAAGAGCCTCTTTCTCTTTTATTAAAGGAAAACAGTGAGCCAACGTGTTAAGTGTTTTCTTTTCCAACTTTTCCATTCTGGATGTTGGAGTTGGTGGATGCGATTATAGTTTGTAAATCCTGTTTTAGAACAGTACACAGTATGGCGTTAAGGTCTATTTGCAATTCTTATTGCCTTCCCTAGTTTTGATCAGCAGACTTCTACTGGGTGAATTAAAATATATTTCAATGTAAGAAGTTTAAAAAGGAGTGAATGAAAAAAACATGATACTGAAGCAGTGGCACAGAACAGCATTAAAAATAATGAATGCTCATTTTATACTATCCCATTCCAAAAAATGTTCTTACTGTATGAAGGTAAAGCCAGCTTTTCTGATTAAAGTTGTGTTGTGAAATGTATACACACTACCAATAAAAAACAAAAGTAGCAATAGATGACACTTCCACTTCTTTTGGGAAAAAAATAATAATTATCTATCTAGAGCCCTGACAAATACATCTTTATAATAAGCATACCATCATTGAAAGCAGAATTAGCCTAAATGAATGTCTAATTTACAGGTAATGATTTCAGGCTAATTCCATCAAATTCCTTAACTTCTTTCACACTTTGTGGTGACTGTAGAGGAAATCGAATGTGCATAATGTATGACCTGACAAAAAAACAAGTAAACTACTTTATTTAAGCATCTCTATTTGTCATCGACACTACAGCAGTAATGGCATTCTATCCACCATTTTAATAATGCATATATTGATCAGGTTATCTCAGACCTACACTACCTCCTCATGGGTGTCCTTAAATCTCTTTAGATGAAGAAACACAGAGTGTTTAAATTGAAAGATGAAAATATAATGAGAAGAGAATTCCATTAGTAAAACTAACATTAATCGCTGTTATTGGAAAAGCAGATATTTTTGCTTTTAAAGAATTTTAAAAAGAAAGAGTGCACTTAAATTAATTCAAGCTATTTCCTGACCAGAATGCTTTTTAAAAATGGGTTTTGACCACAGTTTTTAAAAGTAGGTATCAACTGTGCCACCAGAAAAGATCAGTGTGTTCAAGCAAAAATTGTATTCCTTCTTAGGCGCTGTTGTGATAGATGTCATGTGAAAGAGTTTCCAGGGAATTGTTAATAATTAACTTCTATATTCATAAATGCTATTTATGCCGTTAATGCAATCATTATGCAGAAGATGTGGCAACTTTTAAAAGAATGAAAGAAGAAGCCGGCTATCTGCATGATGAGTAAGTTACTTAACAGAGATTAACAGTAACGTGTACATAGTTAATATGATTTCAATAAAACATTATCGTGACACTTAGTAAAGCAAGGAAATCTGCAAGATAATGAAATGATGTTTTGTTGAACAGCAGTATTTTTTTTCATTGACTAACCCCCCCACACATACACACATTCCAAGACTTTGGCATAGACACAATTTCTTCACATGCCAAAAATTGACAAAATGACCCACTATATATATATAAGTCCAAACAAATAGCAGTTATGTGAATATATTTGGGATGAATTCCAAATTGCCTTGTCTAAAAAGCACCTCACATTTACAAAGCAACAATGATTTTGACTGCATGGATATCTCTTTTCTCAGTTGAGTTCAAGCTCTCCTCTGGCATAGATTCAAGCATTTTAAATTTTCATCTGAATCCTACTCTTAAAATTTTAAAGACAATCTTGGCAACTAGGAGCATTCTAATGATAAGAATCAAATTTTTTTCATCTCTGCTATGAATGTCTGAGGCATTCCAGATGGTCTTCTAAAAGATAGAGAGGTAAAATATGTTTATTTTTCTTTAAATTACATCCTTAAGGGGAAAAAAAAATAAAACGAGCCTGTAACACTGCTTTAGAAAAATGATTCAGGCATAAAATCGTGTTTGCATTCATCATGCCGTTTCTCAACGGCAATCAGTTAAACTGCTTATAAATAATGTTCCCCTGCTGAGGCCTTTTCTCTTCTCCAAAGAAGAACTTACCTGGCTTCATTTCTGGCTTTACCTGGCAAAAAAAAAAAATCTTCACAGAAGGAAAGACATTGTACCAGTATAGGAAGACCAAACCTGGAAGTTTGGATCACTTAAAAGATTTGTCAGAACAGGTAGAGACTTAACTTGTTTCTTGAAGACTGATTTCCAGAAATTACATTCAGGAGAACAAAGTGAACAATCAGCAGATTCTTTTTCTCAAGACCAAATTTTAACTACTCTTTACTTTCACATTCAACACACTGAAACTCTTGAAAAAAACAGCTTTCCAGTGCAGTTTTAAGATAGATACTTCTACATTTGTGGTGCTTTTTTAAAAGCATTTTTCTTATGTTCAGAAATGAGCCAACCTTTTCATTTGGATACTGCCTTTGTATGTCTGATTCTCTAAAAGGAAATTTTAGAGTAACAGAAAGTCCATAGTGTCTGGGAAAAAAAAAAAAAAAAACAGTAGAAAAACTCCAAGCTGCAAACACAGATTTTGTCAAAGACAACTTGAAGTCAACAGAGTTCTGCACTGATTATTTTTCCCTCCTCCTCTGTAAGAGATCTTTGAAGAGCAGACAAGGTAACCTAATTTCAAGGGTTATGTTTTGTTCTTTTTTTCCACAGGGAATCAGAATACCTACAACTAGAAAGGCCTTATATTAAACTACAGAAGTGATACAGAATGAGAAAAGGAAAGAACCCATATTTCTAAAAAGAACTTAAATGTTCTAGCTTTGATACTAGATATAATGACCAAAGATTTGTGTCTGTATGTATCTGCATGTGGGAGAGACTATAATCAAAAAGGAGAAATGAGAAGGAGATCTATTTTGTGAAGTCATTTTGCACCTTTTCACAGTACTTTACTTTTATGCAACACTTCTCATCCCTAAAAGTTTTAAACACTTCAGTTGATTGGTGAGTGACAGAGAGATGACATAGTCCATCACTGAAGTCTTGCCACCTTTATGATGAATTCTGGGAAGCTTTTGAATAGCTTACAAAAACATATACACTATATATGTATATATACAACATATATACAATATATACAACATACTGACAATAAGAGGGTTTTTGTTCATCCTTCTCTTTGTCTTTCTCGACCATTAGGTAAAGATAGGCTCTTGAGAAACCATATCACCACTACCTCCCATCAGTCTGGTACTGCAGACAAATGCCTATTTGCCTATGCCAAAAGCCAAGCCTGGTTGTATAGGATATTTCCAGACTTGTCAGAAACTCAGGGTTCCCAACAACTTAAAGCAGCAAGATACGTCATGTTCTCTCTCTAACTTGATCTTCTCACTATTTGTTCTCAAATCTGTCTTTCAGCACGAGATAGGACAATCTAATACAGCTACCTGATGAATGGAGAAAGCACAGGTATTCCAGATCCAATTTCATTTTATCGCACCATTTCACATTTCTCCATTCAGAGATAACATCAGAGATTTAAACCACGACATTTAGGAACTTCAGAAAAAATACCTCTTGTGGCAAGTTTCAAAATCTGAAAGTTACATATATGCAGCACAATGCTTTGAGAGGATGATCACTAGTTTTGAAATAGTCTCTTCTCACAGTATCAAGCTGTCTGACTGACAATTTAAATTATTCAATAGAAAACACATTTGTCCAAAATAACTTTTTAGATGTCACACTGAAGTATGCTTGGTCACCAAACAGAAGGGAAAAAGCCTCCCATAATGACATCATTTTAACTAAAGACATGTGGATGAAGGAGGACAGAAGAGCTAGAATCATACATCCAAGTTAATTCCAAGAAATGGAATAGTGTAGAGTGGAGAAATGTCATAGTATAAATACTTCTATGGTTCATTCCAATCACTACATACATTTACCTTTTAAACATGAGAGGACAATTTCTTTATATCAGTAAGTTTCCTTGCCCTTGATCTTATACTGTTCTTTGTAAAAAAACCCAAACCTGACACTGTATTACCAACTTCCTGTTGAATCAGGATTGTCCTAGTGGGTTGAGGTCTGGTTTCTATTACGGACATCTGTTATTAACTGGTGCTTCCTGATTAAAGTTTTCATCAGAAATTAACACAAAAGAAACAGAAGAAATCTTATCATAAGGGCTAGACAGGATTTAATGGAGCTCATAAGTGATAGAATAGGAGTTGCTGAAGTTGGGTGTGCTATCCCAGTTACCTTTCACATGGTTCCCTATTCCCTCTCTTCAGAACAACACTTTCTCCCCATTTACTGCTTCATTCAGCAATTCTTCAGGACACTAGTTTCCTAATTTTCTTATGGTACTGCTGAAAAAGCACCACTGAGGTACTAGAACTGTGATTTCACATTCTGACCTGGATAGACTGTAATGGTATAGCAAATTAAAAGCTGTTTACTTGAAAGCAGACATTAGGTCAGCATCAGACATGTGTGAACTTGAGTCAATACAGGAAACACACCTGAAGCACACCTTTTTGACAAAAAAAATGCGTGAATCTTTGTATGAAGAATTATTCAGCAGTACCATGTTATTTGGGGGGATTTTCATTTGGTGGGTTTAAAAAAAAATCCTATACAAGTGTTGGATTTAGGTTCCTTTTTACTACAAAGCTTAGTCTAGAACAGCCCCCATTTGATGCTCAGCTATTTCCTTTCCATAAAGATTCCCTGATGAAACTAGTATGAGCTACGGACAGTTACAGTCAGTTGTCACAACAGTTTCATGATACACACAATTGTGCATTAGGGCTGATATAATTTGCTTTTTTCACAAACATTCCCCAAAATCAATAGCAAAATGGGGTTTCAAAAAGCACACATGATATTTAAATGCCTGATCTAGAAAAATTTACAGAACTACTTATTTAATCTTCAAATAATATTAAGTTAGTATTTGTTCTAGCCTTGAAAACTAGCTGTCTATGACAGGTCTATGAAAATGTTGTGTCGCTTTCCAAAAAAGCCAAGCAGCTGCTAGTAAATACTCTCTTCTCCAAAGGCTGATTTTCTAAGCTGTGTTTAAAAATTGTAGCTAGTACTCTCATGTAAGAAGTTCAGTTTTCATTGTCTCTAAAATGTATTTTAAAGGGTATCTTACTTTTTCCAACAAGGATCGTTTCATGCAGCACTAACCTGCAAAACAAAAAGCAATGACCGAAAGATCATTTAAAAAAATCATACCCTATGAATATCATTCTGTTTCTGCACAGAGGGAAGATCTCCACCAATTGGTGCTTGCTGCTTTAATTCATCCTCCTTCAATTGCAGCCATGCCAAAAGTTCCTGAAGAGAGAGATGTAGACGCTTCCACTGGTCTGTACTGGCCTCCAAATGGGATCTGAAAGCACGTGTTAAATATCAGATATATTCAGGCACAGTAAAAATAAAAAGCAAATTGTACAAACTTATTTACTGAGAAAGATCCTAGTGTTTCATTAACTTAATGATTTTTAAATAGCTTCAGTAGCTTTGAATTAGATTCTGGCAACACTGATTTAGATTTGGTTTCAGAGTCCTGGCCTGAAACATCCATTCTTTTCATATACCTTCTTTCCAACCTTTTACACCAGGTAATTGGAGTGCCGAGGAAAGAGAAAAGAAAGGGACAGATTAGCCATAGGATGACAGAAAGCTCAGCTGCTCTGCTATGTAAGCTGATGGAAAATTTTCTCCTTTTTCAAACTTAAAGGCTATGTGGGAGGGACAGACATGCTGTCTTCTGATCTCTGCTCTCACAGGGCAGCTGTGGGCTGCGGCAAAACTGGCTCACAGTGGGTGCTGCTGAGGGAGGCCAGCCCTGAAGGCAGCGAGGGCTGGGGAGGCCCCAGGATGCATTTGAAAGCAGTGAGGGGGGAGAGGAGCAGGGATGTCATATGGGGAGTTGCAGGCGGCAGCAGCCAGAGCAAGGATGACAGTGCTTTTGGAGGGGACATAGTCAAGGAGCCAAGTTTCTGAGTCAGGTTTACTCCTGTTGCCCATGTTTATCTCAGCAAGCTTCCACCACCTCAAGACAAGGCAGCAACTGGAGGCAAACACTAGTGTCTTCACTTCTTCCCTGCTTCCCCAGGTCTGGCTTTATAGGGAAAAAGTGCAAAGGAGTGACCCAAAGCGGTTTTGTTACTGCTGCTGTGCTCTGACCTTCCCCAGCATGGGGAATGGTTTCCCTGAACCCATCCTGCTCTGCCCTTCTTTCAGCTTCGGGAATATGTGTTTATGCATTTACATTATGTGCACACACTCATATATTTATACCTGTGCTCAAGCACATGCAGACAAAATAGATAATAGGAAACAAGTTTTAAAAACCGAGTTCTTTATAAGAAAGAAAGTGTTTATTAGGCTAAACTGTACTGACTTATCAGAATAAAAGAAAAGTAATAATGGAAATGAACTTGGCTTCTCTTCATATCTACCATATATCTAGTGGATTTAGAAAAGAATACCTACCTAAGCCAAACAACAGCATGGGTCTTGTGTTTCAGCAGTGTAAAACTTATGCTAAATAAGGGGACTTGTGGGACTGCTGCCTGGGGAACATTTCATATTTCTGGTCTTATACCTCTTTTGCGTAAGCATTGCTATTTATGATGAAATCCATTCCATAGTGTATGATGGAAAGAAATAGGTCCAAGCAGAGAGACTGAGAATAGCCTGTTCATTCAATCTAGTGGCCAGCAACATTTAAATGTCTCAGAAGTTAAGAATTGTTTCTTATGCTAATCAATACGTTATTGAACACCTTGAGCCTTTTACTGAATGCAAATATTTTAGAGAGGGAGTCTGTTGCTTTGAACGTTTAATGCAAGAAGTCACCATGTTATAACTAGGGTTACTATTTCTGACTTGATTAATGGCAGCAATACATTGAACTGTAAAAAATCAAAGACAGAAAGTCCCATATATTTAATTACTGATATTTGGCCAACTGACTGTTTTTTTTTAACTCAAACATTGCTGCATTTAGAAAAGCTCCTCAGGAAAAAAAAAAAAAAAGGAGGAATTTGTTTCTCTTTTTCTTTAGCTGCTAATATCTTTTCAATCTCACATCCTTCATTTATTTTTAATGATTGATGTTATGAAGATGGCTTTTGTCATTACACACACTGACCTCCCTCAGGGCCTGAGCTGAAAAAACTAACATTTCATACATTAATTTGAAAAATATTTCTGCCTTTTGCTGCCCTCTGAACTACCACCAACACACAGCAAGCAAGCAAATGAAAAAATGCCTGAGACTGAAGGCAACAGAGCTGTGTTGCCTATTGTAAAAGTCGCATTTCTGAAGAGAAGTTTCCTGGACAATTTCTTTTGAAAAGCAATCTTCAGCCCATTGAAGCCTGTACCTCCACTTTATCATTTGTAACATTACAATTTATTATAGTTTTCTTTGCAAGGAGAATTTTTTCCTCTTGTGACACTACCTATGGATTTCCTTTTACCCCTTGATTTTATCTGGTAATTCTGTCCATTCCCCAGACAACAGCTAAAATCTTAAATAACGCGTCTTCCCATTTGCAATGATATTCTTAGTTTTGCACTGGAAATAGCAGACTTAGAAATAAAGCTTATCATAAGTACAGGCTGTTTAATCACTTTCTTTCATGTCTCATTGATAAGTCATACCCAGCTCTAGAAAAAACTTAGATTCAGAGGGGGTAGTTACTGTTTAAACATGCTAATCTCTCCTGTAATTACAAAACCTCATCATATGCCTCATATCCTAATCCCCTACTATCATTTCCACACCAAAAAAACTAATCATTCTCACAATTTAAGCCAACATTCAAAATAATACAAATCATTTCAAAAATGGACAGAAATAGTGCTATCAGAAAAAAAACCCATGCTTTTACTGTCAAAACACAGCAGTCCACCTTACACACCAACCGTAGGCTTTTGCTTACGTTCACATCCTACCTAATGTTTAGAGATTTCTTCCTAAGCTCACTCCATCTGAAGTTCATGTTGTCCAGACGTCTCTGCAATAGGGCTGCATCCTCAGAGCCTTCCAGGGATCTCAGGATTTTCTGCCCGTTTTCATCCAGGTTGTGGAAGATGTCAGTGTGAGCATCAATTTCCGCCTGTAGTTCCTATGGAAGCAATAGAAAACAGTACGTGTGATTTCTTACAAAACCATAGAAACTATCACTTCTCAAAAGAGTAGAAATATCCTCAGTGTGACACAGTTAGCACAGATATTGATTACTCCTTTTATGGCAATATCATGTACTGTATACACGGCCATATTTCCCTTTCACGTGAAGGCCATTTGCATTGAATAATGACTTTTTTTCCATACAGAGCATACCAAAAAAAATTTAGATAGTTAAAAGTCTAGCCTTTGACAGGACACAAAGCAAGGACAAGATACATTTACTATGCTGACAAAGAAGAAAAAAACCCTCAAAACCCTCAGGATCTCAGGTAAATCTGACCTTCACATGATACGTCTTCCTGTGCAACATTTTCAGTTTGAGCTGGGGACTGCAGCACCGGTCCTGCTGCATGGCAATCCCAAGAAATCTAGGCGTCTGCAAGCAGCCAAGCTTTAAAATGCCAAGTTCACTTACATTCTGTTGACAGAACGCATTTCGGAGCACAGGCCTCAGCAGTCAATAGCAATAAACAGCCACTTTGTGCTATATCAAAACACTGGTCAGGGCCATGGCCGTAGGAGGGCCTGAGAATAGCAAGGACTTAGAATATGCAACTGGCAGCTCATGTTGAACAGCCAACTTTTCTCATCACTTCGTAACTGCAGGCCAGCTCTACGTTTTGAATTCACTTTTCCCCCTCATTTTTAGTATGGCTGTCTCTGCCAAAAGAACATTCTTTAGAGAGCTGCCTGGTTTCCTGCCTGCCCACACACTCAATGCAGCCTTTGTACGTTGGCTGCCCTTCTCCAAGGCGTTTGCATGCTGCAGCTCCACAAGGTCACAGATTCGTTTGCAGTGAACAGTGGTTGAACCAAGCTCTTTAAACAGAATAAAACCAAAATTAATAATAATAATTTAAACACGTATGTACATGAGCACACACGTAGTCTATATGTAGCCATATAGGCACAAAAGTACTTTTACTTTCAGAAAAAGCAGCACAGATAGAAACAAAGAAAATGACCCAGTGAATAAAGCTCTACATTTTCTCCTGGGACGCTTGGGCGCTAAGATTTCTGGTGGTGGTTTCTTGCTGCCTGAAATGGGAGCACTGGGGATAAAGTGTGAAAGGGGAAATGATTTATGGCATTTGAGAGCAAGACCCAGTGCTAACTGAGCATCACAGATAGCCCCCAATGGAAATTTGTTGTAATTTTCTTTAGAAGAATGACTTTGAAGGAGAGGAGCACACAACTCGCCTACTTGGTGTGTTCCTAATTGGATTGGTTTTATTTGATATTTTAAGTGCCATGTTAGGTGCACTGAATCATGAGTAGATTGTCCTTGTTCACCTACTGCTGTTCCAAACGTCATTTACCGTCCTTTGCTGGATACCTATTTCTTGCACAGTAACGACTAGCAATGTGTTTGGACCAATTTCAAGGAGGGCTAGGAACGTCTTTGGTACAGTATAGGAGTTCTTATCCAACTATTTTATTTTATTTATGGTCATCCTAGCAGTAAAGTAGTTAGGAATGAGTTTGGAATACATCAGAGGTAATTCTGCAGAATGCAACTGCATTATAAACATTGTATTTATTTATTGATGTTAAATAGACAATTTAGATTTTTAAAAATGCCATTATTAAGGTAAATAATCATGTATAATACTCCAGGTATGAATGCCCTTACTTGAAAATTTGTACTTTATTTCAAGTCTGAATGCTGCTAGCTTCAGTTTCCAGCTGTGATATTTTATTTTTGTTTGCTTGACTGAAGAACACTCTATTACCAAATTATTTTTTCTTCATGTCTGCATTTGGAAGTTTTATTTAAGCTAGGTTAAGTATCACAAACCTGATGTGAACAGCCAAAAAAGTATGTAAGAAAGGATAAAGTTCATGGTAAAAAAGTTCACTTTTACTGTCTGTAGACTTTAAAACCTGACAAATCTATTGCTGAATGAAAGAAATATCATATGGACTAGTTGTTGCACAAAATGCTTAGTTTTTAGGGTGGTGATGGAAACAGCTTCCTTTTCCTCAGCAATAACACGTCGTGAAACATGTACGTTGAATAACTATTCACAGTAGGAAGCTGTCAAATCTGTGCCCTCTTGGTGTTTTACCACACATACTTTCATAGCATTTTAAAACACAAAATTAAAAAAAAAAAAGCACTTCTACATTTTTCTTGTTTTTAGAAAAAGTCTCTCATAGTCTACACATTCCATGCTTGACTCGATGCATTTGTATTTCTGAAAATAAAATCTAGCCATATCCTTTTTATTTCAGAATACTATATAGTATCACAATAAATCTGGACAGTTAGTTAAATGGGCAACAAACACGAAAAGTGAGGTACTCTTATCAAAAGCTTAGTATTCAAGACATGGTTTTCCTTATTCCAAATTATCTGTGTAAACTGCACATCTGTTAATACTCGTAAAAGTAGTTTATTCCAGCTATGCAGGAAACCTACACTGACACAGAAGCAAGACAACAACTCCATTTTGGTTCATGCATTTCAGATCCTTCCCTTGTGACTCCTTCACATCCCAAGAGAAGCAGAATACATATAAGAAGAAGATCTATACACCTTTTATTTGTTTTCTGAAATAAGTAATTTCCATGTTTCAAAAATACAAGTGAAAGATCAATAGGAACTAGATTCTTTTTCTTGACAAGAATAAAGCAGGAAGATCTATTTCATCTCATAAACTGGTAAGATATTGCAAAAGTATGCTGTCATTACACATCATACCAAGAAGCATAGAATATAGATTAAATATAAACCATTTACTACATTTTCACTTTTTTCCGGTGTGTTGAAACACATGGAGGAACTGCAGAGGAGGAAAAAATCAATCCTGGTATAATTCTACTGAGTTACAGTTGGACTTAAGCTGACTCTGTATGCTGCATTTTTGCTGTAGTTGTTATTACTGAAGCTGTGTGGAAATAGATTCCCTTAAAAAGAGCAGACAGCAGATGAAAAACAAATAACGCAAGAATATATTGGCTACAGTAACTCATTAATGCATATTGGTTACTAGCCTAAATTAATTTTCAAACCCACATCTTTTTTATCACAAGTTACTGCTTAGAATGAACTGAGATGCTCAGAAAGAACTGCAACCCCATCAAGGGCAGATTTGCCTAAGACTTTGACTGAAATACTCCTTTATTAAGATCAACTATATACTTAAATGAGAAAGGTATCATGATATTTGTTCATAGAAACCTTGCTGAATAGCTACTATAGGTTTCTACACATTTAAAAATGTGTATTCACATTATTATACTATATAGAATAAGTCTAGAACTAAGTCACAGAACCAAGAATGATAAAGAGGTGAAATAAACTCGTCTTGAGAGGAACAATCTTGGGCAAAATAGGGTGAGGAAATTTGCTCTGGCTGTTTTGCTTTTGTCCTAAGCCATTGAAACCTCTATGCATGATTTCAGGGGAGAAGTACACTAAGGCTGCAAGACCGCATACCCAATAGTGCCATAAAGCTAGGAGATGGATATATTTCTCATTGGCCCAACAAAGTTTTTGCCCTTGGAACTACTGCTAGCATTCTCCATAGGAGCACACATCCTCACTGCACTTATCCTCTTGGTAGGTAAGAGAAATTCACCTGTGGCTCCACGTGTTTGGAGCTAGCTAAGGTCCCTTCCAACCCAAACCATTCTACGATTCTATGAAAATTCAGCAGAGCCATCGCTGTGAAATCTAGTGTATTGAAAGTCCTATCAGTCTCCACACAGCAGAGACAGCCCTATAAGAATTCAATATGGTTTGAGATGATACCTTATCAGAAATAACTAATCAGTGTCATTTCCCACATTTAATATATAGGCAGGACATATAAATGACATGACACATGGCAAAATCTGCCATTATTTTGGCAACGTAACAGAGAGGGATTGGTAGGCTGGAAGTAAAATGAAGTCCTAGAAAGAAGGAATAAGTGACACTAGTTAAACTATACATGAATCAGACTAAGAGATGGAAATTAATGCAGCACAACTGACATGACATTTATCTTTTATACAAGGTAGAAACAAAGTTATTATGTAATAATTTAAAGAAATTAAAGCACTTAAAACCTCTGCTACAAACTCAGTTCTGTCCTTGGAATTGTGCTTATAATTTCCAACGAAGCATTTTATGTTCTCTAGGTACCATACAAAGTTACTAATGAAATAAATGGCGTTAATTGAGGTTTGAGGGCTCACAAAACTAAAGACAGCACCATCTGATTGAAGGAAATCAACACAGAGAAAAAAATGTTTTTTACTGACAGCTATTTAAAAAATAAAGTCAGTCTGCATAATTACATACATGTACTCAGATCATCAGCAAGTAATACCTGTGTGGCTACACATAGCTCAGAGGTACTATACTTTACACTACTGTTGCTGTAATACTAATATTAAAATAGCTAGAAAAGCTATCATAAAATTACTCAAAACCAAGATACTACAGCTCTATAATTCGTCTCTGTGCAATTAGCTGAAATAATTGTCCCCTGACTATTTATATTAACAGTTAATATTTCCCCTAATAAGTTTCTGTAAAAAACCCAGCTAATAATTTTAAAAAGCTTAAATTAGTGGCATATTTACTTAAAACTCTTATACTGTACAGAAAATGACTGATAAATCCTCCTTTTTTCCATTTTCCTTTTGCCTACCTTCCTTTTTCTTCCTTTCCCTTTAGCTTTTCTGTCACTTTCTTCCTTTCCTTCCTTGCTTCCTTTCTTTTCCTCCTCTTTTCTTTCCTCTTTTCCTTCCTCTTTCATTCTTTTTCCCTTCCTTTCTTTCTTTTCCTTTTTCCATTCTTCTTTCCTCCCATCCTTTCCCTTCCTGTCTTTCTCTCTTTCCTTCTTTCTTTATTTTTCTTTTTCTCTTTCTCTTTTTCATTTTCATTTCCTTCTTTCTTTTTTCTTTTTCTTCTTATTTCTTCCTTTTCTTTTCCTGCCTCTT